CCTCTCAAATGGTCCCCTCTCCTGCCAGGGGACCCATGTGCCCCGGCTTGGCTCCTCCAAGTCCCCACCCAGGATGATGCCACCCAAACACAGCCCGGTTTCCCACACAACTCCATAAACTGGGACAAAATCCACGCTGCAAGGATGCAGGAGGGGGATGGCAGCCTGGCCACTGCCTCCCCGGCCCCAAAATGCATCTGCTCCAGAGGTACAGGGAAAGGTGTGATGATAAATCACATCGGCATATCCAGCCGGCTCTAACTAATGACCTCCCGGGCACTTGACACATTTTCCCGAGGCGCTGACTGTTCAGAATATTGTTGTAACATTTAACTCCCTTTCAAGAAAAAAAAAAAAAAAAAAATTAAAATTAGCCGTGCAGTTGGCAGATTGCTGGAGACACTTGGATTCTCTGTGGGAAGCCGCTCCGCGGTGGGAGTTTGGTGGCTGCAGTTTGGTGGCAGAGCCGTTGCCTCTAATGTCAGCTCATTAGCTGGGGTACTCCGAGGCGTTGCTGTGTTCGGAGCCCGCGGGGAGCTGTGGGCTGGTCCTTCCCGGTATTAATATTATGGCTCTGTTGTGTTCCCTATGTGTTAACGCTAATAGTGCTGCATAAAACGCGTGGCAGAAGCGGTAGGGGATGGTCCCGGTCCTGCCCGACACCCAGCATGGGTTTGTCTGCACTGGAGCTGGGGCTGGCAATGGGGCTCAGGGTATTGGGGGAAGTTTTGAATTTGCTCGCAGGGTGGAAAATTATGATGGTCAGGGGTGCAAAACTCCTGGGAAGGGGGCGGTGAGGGGGATGGAACCTCCCTAACTCCTCTGCCAGCACCCTGGGGCAGCTCTGGGTGTGGGGAGATGCTGGGGTGACGCTGGAGGGTGGCACTCATGACCCAAGGAAAGGCAGGGTGATGATGGGGCCGTGGTCCCCAGCCGGTGCCCGTGGCAGAGCCTGCCCAGCCCTGGGTTTCCACGCATTCACACGAGCCCTCTCCCAGCCCGAGCCTCCTGCAGTGTGGGGCTCCAGCCTTCAAATTAAAACCAAACCAGAAATTCAGCTTTCAGCAAACTTGAGAAAGTGTATTTCCAAACAAAACTGTGCTAAATAAAGTACAAGCCGCAGGCGGCCGCCTGCTCCAACAGAACCACTTTGCTCGCCTTTATTTAGCTGCCGTCTCCCCATGCTGCCGCTGCTGGCCTGGGGCCGGGGGGGGTTGTCCCCCCAAGAACTTTGGTGCTTCGGGGAGGACTCGGTCCCGTGGCCCCAGTGAGTGTGGGGTTCCACGTGGGACGGGGGCTGTGTCATGAGAGCTGTCCCGGCCCCAAAGCAGCATCAGCCCCTCGGGCCTCTCCTGGCATCCCCCCGCAGCAGACGGGTCCCCAGCGTCGGGGTGCTTGGGCAGGGTGGAAGCTGGAGTGACGTGGGAGGAGGGAGAAGAAAGGAGAGAAGGAGGGAGGGAGGCAGGAAGGAAGGAAGGAGAGAGAAAGAAAAAATAAGGAAGAGAGGAAGAGAAAGGAAGGGAGAAAGGAGGAGAAGAAGGAAAGACAGAGAGAAAGAGAGAAAGAGAGAAAGAGAAACAGAGAAAGAGAGAAAGAAAGAAAGAAGGTAAGAAAAGAAGGAAAAGAAGAAGAAAGAAATTAAGAAAGAGGAAAAGAGGAAGAGAAGAAGAAAGAAAAAGAGAAAATGAAAATAAAGGAAGAAGAAAGACAGAAGAAAAAAAAATAGGAGAAGAAAGGAGAGAAGGAAAGACAGAGAGAAGGAAAAGAGAAGAAAAGAAAGGAGAAGAAAAGAGAAGAAAAGAGAAAGAAAGAAAAATAAAAAAGAAGATAAAAAAGAAAAAGGAAAAAGAAAAAATAAAAAAGAAAAAGAAAAAGAAAAAAGAAAGAAGAAAAAAGAAAAAAAAGAAAGAAGAAAGAAGAAAAAAGAAAAAATAAGAAAGAAAAAAGAAAAAAGAAAAGGAAAGGAAAGAAAAAAAGATGAAGAGCAGGAAGGAAGGAAGAGGGAGAGGAAGAAACAGAGAAAGCCAGGCAGGATGAAGGAAGGAGGGAAGGGGAAAGGGCTCAAGGTGGAGGGGAGCGGTGGTGGTGACTGGGGAGCCGGGGGGTCCCGGGAGCATCACCCCTGGCGAGGGCAGCATCGCTGCCTCCGCAGTCACCCGGGCACGTCTCCCCTCCCAGCACAGTTAATCCAGACCCCAGCTAATCCTCTCGCAGGTCACTGGGAGCTCATTGCATTTCGTTCACTTCTCAAATGCATCTCGAATTAATTAAAAAAAAAACAAACAACAAAACCCCCAAACCAACAGTAAATTCATCCTGTGGCAAAAGCATTTGGCCTATTCCCCCGGGGCGAGACGGAGGGGTGATGGAGAAGCAGCCTTTTCTGGCTCCGAATGCTCAGCTTTCATTAAATAAGGAGGAGAGCAAGCCTTGATGAATGTAGCCAGTGTGGGCAGGAGGAAGACTCGAGATGGGCGACCGGTGTGGCTGTGGGAGCCTGCAGCCAGCCCAGCACATCAGCTCTGCAAAGCCACTTTCATAGAATCACAGAATCATAGAATGTTTTGGGTGGGAAGGGACCCCCAGAGGTCACCCAGCCCAACCCCCCTGCAGGAGCAGGGACACCGCTAACCAGATCAGGTTGCTCACAGCCCCGTCCAACCTGGCCTGGAATGTTCCCAGGGATGGGGCCTCCACCACCTCTCTGGGCAACCTGTTCCAGTGTTTCAGCACCCTCATTGTAAAGAATTTCTTCCTTATATCCAGTCTAAACCTTTCGTGTTTTAGTTTAAAACCATCACCCAGCTGTCCTTGCTAAAAAGATTTTCCCCATCTTTCCTATGGGCCCCCTTTAGGTACTGACCGGCCGCACTCAGCTCTGCCCACAGCCTCCTCTTCTCCAGGCTGAACACCCCCAACTCTCCCAGCCTGGCCTCAGAGCAGAGGGGCTCCAGCCCTCGGATCATTTTAGTAGCCCTCCTCTGGACCCGCTCCAACAGGTCCATGTCCTCCTTGTGCTGAGGGCTCCAGAGCTGGACGCAGGGCTCCAGCTGAGGTCTCACCAGAGCAGTGACTTTGATCCCATTTGACTTGAAGTGACTTTGGGGGTGTAAATATTAACCGTTCGCGCCTGCTTTACTCTTTTCCCGTGGCTGTAAGGAGGGAGGGGATCTCATTCCGACTGCCCCGGCCGAGTGCGAGCAATCGCTTGCTCTGCCGGCACATAACCAACAAATAACCGTGGCACTTGAAAAATTGGCTTTTGGGAGAAAAAATGGTTGTGTCTGGATCGCAAGCAGGCGGTAATGTGTTATTTGGCACATAAGACAGTGCCAGGCGTGGGTCTGTTTGCAGCACCCGGGAGGTTTGGGCAGGTTGTTAGTGCTCCTGCTTGTGGTGCTGGGATTCTGCAGGGATCCCCGTGTCCCAGGCTGGATTTGGGGTGAATTCGTGGAAAAAGCAATCCAGCATATCGTTGCTAGCCGGGCTGATGCAGCCCCAGGCAGGCTGTGCCTGGCAAAGTTTCCTAGCGCTGGTGCCGGCGCTGGGCTGGCCCTGGCCACCGTGTAATGGAAAGGATGTGCTCGTCCCAGCGTGTCCCCGGGCGCTGGAGCTGATTGCAGGGATCGACCGCATCGATCGGGCCAGCAGATCCGACACAGCACGTACAGCCCAGGGCATTCGCGGGTGCCTCTAGGCAAGAGCCGGGCACCTCTGCGCTGGGGGGACGGGGTGTTGCGGGGGGCTCTGCACCCGCTCCCCCACCACATTGCTGCCCCATGCAGGTCTCACTGCCAGCAAGGTGGTTTCAACCCCAGTGACACATGTTGCTAAAGAATAGGATGAGCTGGGTGGTTTGGGGAGAAGTCCTGCAGTGCCGTCTCTTTGGGGTGCTTGTGATGTGCCACGTGGCTTCTCCACAATCCCATCCACTGCCTGATGGCAGCCCCATGGGCCAAGGCAGAGGCACCGGGGAGCCCACCTGACTTGGGCCACCTTGCCTGTGTCCGTGCTGCTCCCACCTCTCTCCCAGACAAAACTGAGTGTAGGTCCCTGACCCTGCAGCCGAACCCTCCAGAAAGGATCAAAACAGCTCCCTGTTCCCCAGTGGCAGTTGTTCCTCCGTAAGACTTGGCCAGCAAAACCCATCTGTGACCGTAGATGGCTCCATGTCCCAATGGATGTGTTGGGAAAGTTGCTCCTCGGGACATCTGCCCTGAGCGAGTGCCTTCCCTGGGCCTTCTCCAACCAGCTGCACGTTGGCCATGTCCTCTCCCATCCCCAGGCTGGGGGACAGAGGTTAAATCCACATCTCCCTGTGGTTTCCCTTGACCCCAGAAGAGCTGGTGCTCGAAAGGTCGGGTGACTGCTGCTGCGATGTGCTGGGCAGCGGTCCATGTGGCACAGGCAATGTAAACTGATGGAGCTGCTTTTGGACGTACCTTTATTAATATCTCTGTACTAAGGAGAGCAGCTTGGCCTCTCTGCTTTCCTCTCCAGCAGCCTGACCCCGCTCTGACAGCAGAGCTCATGAGAAAAGCGAAGAGGAGAGACTCCAAGGTTTTTCATCGGCTGGTGTCCTTGGGGTTCCCAGAAATGCCGCATCTACCCAGCAAGGTTTGCTCGCTCACTTTGCAGTATGAAAGAACAAACTCTAAGACCTTCCTCCTTCCTTGTGTGTGGTTTTTGGGAACAGCCTAGCCATAGGAGGGAGAGTGAGGGCAGTTGGGGAGGTCCTCGCTCAACATGCAGCCACCCGCCCCATCAGACCCATGGCCAAATACCCCCTCGGGTCTCTTTGCCATGGCAGGTAATGGCCATGTCTCTGTTTTCTCATTGCAGAGCCTCTCACGGGATCCGCGTGGTGACGTGGCAGCCAAGACGTGGAAGCTTGGGACTTCTCTTCCACCGCAACAGAATTTGGGGGGTGGGCAGGGGTGGGCCAGGGGGACACTGGGAGTCGCAAGACCCTTCACCTTCACTGTGGGCTTGGCTCAGGGATGACTGCAGGCAGAGTCAACCCTTACAGCATCGTGTCCTCCGAGGAAGACGGGCTGAGGTTGACCACCATGCCAGGTATCAACGGCTTTGGCAATGGGAAAATCCACACCAGGAGGAAATGCAGGAACAGGTTTGTAAAGAAGAACGGTCAGTGCAACGTGGAGTTCACCAACATGGATGACAAGCCACAGAGGTACATTGCAGACATGTTCACGACGTGCGTTGACATCCGCTGGAGGTATATGCTCTTGCTCTTTTCCCTGGCATTTCTGGTGTCCTGGTTACTGTTTGGGCTGATTTTCTGGCTAATTGCACTCATTCACGGAGACCTAGAAAACCCAGGTGGAGACGATACCTTCAAGCCTTGTGTTCTGCAGGTCAATGGCTTTGTGGCTGCTTTTCTGTTCTCCATCGAGACCCAAACAACTATTGGTTATGGCTTCCGCTGTGTGACAGAGGAGTGCCCGCTCGCGGTCTTCATGGTGGTGGTTCAGTCCATCGTGGGCTGTATAATTGACTCTTTCATGATTGGTGCAATAATGGCAAAGATGGCCAGGCCCAAAAAACGGGCCCAGACATTACTTTTCAGCCATAACGCAGTAGTGGCAATGAGAGATGGAAAACTCTGCCTGATGTGGAGAGTTGGGAACCTCCGGAAAAGCCACATAGTAGAAGCCCACGTACGAGCTCAGCTAATTAAGCCCAGGATCACAGAAGAAGGAGAGTACATACCACTCGACCAAATAGACATCGACGTGGGGTTTGATAAAGGCTTGGACCGTATCTTTTTGGTGTCCCCCATCACCATTCTCCATGAGATCAACGAAGACAGCCCCTTGTTTGGGATCAGCCGCCAGGACTTGGAGACAGATGACTTTGAGATTGTGGTCATCCTGGAAGGCATGGTAGAAGCCACCGCCATGACAACGCAAGCTCGGAGCTCCTACCTGGCCAGTGAGATCCTCTGGGGCCATCGCTTCGAGCCTGTCTTGTTTGAGGAGAAAAACCAGTACAAAGTAGACTATTCTCATTTCCACA